AAGTTGTTTAACTAATTGAGTTATTAATTTGATGTTGAAATTTCACTAACACTTTGAATGGTTGGGGGGCCCCCGAAGAGAGGTTTGGAAACTGAAGTGATGTTCTTCTAAACATAGAAGATTTTGGTCATAGAAGATATCAGTAGTAGTAGAATCATACGAGATACCAGTAACTTAACACTATAGTAGTGGGTCAGAGTGGTGGCTCTGTGCCAGCAATTGGATGGTTGCTGGTTCAAATCCCATGAATGCCTATAGTAATTCTACTCCATTGGGCTCTTGAGCAAGGCCCTTAACCTGCAGTTGCTTCGTCCTGGGTATGATGTTAATCTACATCCAGCCCTATAAGGAGGTCCTCCTACTTACAGGGAAATTTGGGGGTTGGTGGCAGGATTGGCACTCCAGCCACTGGAAAAAAAACACACACTGGTCCATTTGGACTAGTGTGGTGCTGAGGTATCACCTGCCACATGGCTGCACTCAGGCTCTCATCCCTGAGGTGGTTCATCATGTGGCGGGTGCAGTGACGTGCTGTAATCAGTGTGTGCCCCTTACACACTGTAATAAGTGCATGCTCCTTACACACTGTAATAAGTGCATGCTCCTTACACACTGTAATCACTGCATGCTCCTTACCTCTCCAACACCATATTGGTGTAATAGAATGGTGATTTTCCACACAAACAGCTTTAAACATATAATTTAATGGCCTAAGGCTTTTGAACAGTACTGTATTTATGTATTTGTGTTATATATCTACGTACACATTCAGTAGCCAGTTTATTAGGTACATCTGCTTATTAACTCAAACATCCTGCTCCGCCAAACAATGACTACATCTAAACATCTAGCATACAGACAGAATCAAGAGGTTCACTGACTTTGTGGTGAAGCATGAGAAGTTTACAGAGAATGGTGTAATAAACAAGATAACATCCAGACAGGGGCAGATTTGTTAAAGAAAACAGTTAATCACAATGTTCAGAGGAGAATGGGCAGACTCATTAAAGCTAGCAGGAAGGCTACGAACGTGCTACAGCAATGTCTGGCAGAAAGGCATCTCTGAACAAACTTATCAACCCTTGAAGTATAACTAGGAACACAAATGGGGTCCTAGGCAGTACTACCTGAGAGTTCTAATAAAACACCCACATACAAATAGTTCATATTTTTTCAACAATAATCATGTTCAGGAAATCTGTTGGAAAATCCTACATACCCCATAGTTGCTTAACCAATTCCTTTAAAGAATATGAAATAAAATATATCTACCAAATAATAAAATAATATATCAAATCATTTAAAATACTAACAAAAAAGAAAAATATGAGCACCACCTCTGGCTATTGGTATTTACCCTGCATGGAGAGGAGGACTGCAAGCCTCTAACAATCTTGTTCCACCTCCAGGGGATCCAGTCACTGCCGTGATGAAGCACCACCATGGTCTAAGCTAACATCCTACCCCTAGGGCCTACAGTACCCTGGAAGACTGGATATATCCTACCCCTAGGGCCTACAGTACCCTGGAAGACTGGCTACATCCTACCTCTCGGGCCTACAGTACCCTGGAAGACTGGCTACATCCTACCCCTAGGGCCTACAGTACCCTGGAAGACTGGCTACATCCTACCTCTCGGGCCTACAGTACCGTGGAAGACTAGCTACATCCTACCCCTAGGGTCTACAGTACCCTGGAAGACTGGATACATCCTACCCCTAGGGCCTACAGTACCCTGGAACACTGGCTACATCCTACCCATAGGGCCTACAGTACCCTGGAAGACTGGCTGCCCCTACCTGCACAGAGAGAAAGTCCCAGGTGCCACGTTAAATCATCAGACTGATAAACTAATAGAAAGACTCAGGCAAACCCAGTTCATCATTCTATACCACAGGAATGGCTACTCACGTCTTTTGTTTTTACCTGGTAGTCTGGGAGACGAAGGACACTGCTAGTGCATGGTTCAATGAGGTGCTGGTCACCTACCATAAGGTTCTGAGATCCCGACAGACATACACCGCTACCTCTCTGTGATATCGTGGATCATTCAGAGACCCGGGCTGAAAACCTCAGGTGCTGGATAATCTGCAGGTCGCAGACCTCACCACCAATTCTATGAAGTGCCCTCTATTACTTAAAGAGTCTCATTACCTGAGGTATTGAATTGAAAATGGCTTCCTGAAACTGTAGAAGAAGAAGATCATCTCCATCAAGAATACCTCAAGTCAACTGACAAAAAAAACCCTGTGCACCCACATTTACTTACATTCCTGGGGTTGTTTGGGAATTACAGACAGATTCTTCCCTCTTGTTGACTTCTTTGGACCAATCGAAGAAGGAGATCTGGATCCTGGAAATGGAAACTATGTTCCAGACCTTAGAAATAACTTCAGAACTTACGGCTCAGAACTCAACCTAAGAGCCCCTGACTGCCACTGGCAAGACACTCCAGGTTGATGCACTGGATAGTGACACAGGAGTTTGAGGTGCTGTACCTTTGCCACGAGTTGATCCCATATGCAGACAAGGTGCTCCGCAGTGGAGAAGGAGGCATTTAAGTGGGCAGTGACCAAGCTCAAGTGTTTATGGGCAGACAGGCAGGTGACCAATCATGCACGCCTGCATTAGAAAGCATGGGCAAAGGGCACCAATACCCCTCGTTCTTCTCTCTCAACCACTACTCTTTCATTGGGATAGGTAGGGGCCACACCAGCACCCACTCACGCATGCACGCTTTGTGATCTGCTTCCTGTTAGTGGTCCGGAGCAGCTCTTGGGGAGGAGGCATCAGGATGGTACCTCTGGGATGCTTGCATGCTTGTCACCATGATCGACTGACAGGCTGCCATACACAAGCTGCAGAAGCCAGCTTTTCAGCACCCATGATTTGCACAGCCGCCTGCACTCAGCACTGATGCTCCAACCCTAATGCTGAATTGCTGGGTACAATTGAATGCTGCAGCTGCAACCGCCCTCCCACATCCGCACTTCTTTCAAAACTACTCTCTCCATCAAACCGGGTCCTACCCCCGACTCCCTGGCCACAGCTATCAACCAGCCCTCTTGTGGGTGATCTCCAGTTGTTTTTCTCTTTATTCTAGAACTTTTCTTCCCACTCTTGCTTGCTCTTGCTCTCTCTCTCTCTCTCTCTTCCATACTCCTTAGTTCCCCCTGGTTGTGCAGAATAAAAGTTGCCTTTCTGGGGTCAAATCTTGAGATGAGATTACTGTTGCGTGCATGTTCATTGTCACACCCCACCACACAGGAAATTAAAAAGCATTCAAAGCATAATGATAAGCTCAGTGTGAGACCTTCACCCAAACAAGTAAAGAGTGATCCTACACAGCTGCTCCTTTCCCCGTAGCTGTAAGCCCTGCCATATGACCATTATTTCTCTATAGTTTCTCTATAGCCAGTTTGGGAGACATTAATAGCGTGAAGGTCATGGGAACAGATCTCATTGTGACATCTGTTTTGTAGAGGAGACTGTCCAACTATTTCTGAGTAGAAGTTTGTATTTTATCACCGATGGTTTAATGATTCCTATAGCACACCAATAAAATGAACCAGACTTATCCAAAGATAAGACTTAGTGACTATTTAAAAAGCATCATAGGTAACGGAGCACAGCAGCATCAACTAACCAAGATGATCCCAATCGTGCTAGTATCCATCTTCTTTGCCAGCGGTAAGAAGTAGCTGTGGTTGTGTTGTGTTTTGATAGTAATGTTTTAAAACTTTCAAAGTGACTTGAATATCAGATCAGCATAAGACCTTGTTTATAGAAATATGCTGTATCATGAAAAGCTATTGACGATTACCCACAACGCCTCTCTATCTCTTAAGCCTATGGGTGCGGCCGTCCCCCAGTTGAACCAGTTGTCACTCGTGTGGTCAATGGTGTGGATGCTCGTCCCTACAGTTGGCCTTGGCAGGTATAAACAACTCCGTCTGATATATGAATCTCCGATGTTTTCATAGGAAATGAACTTTGGATAGGGATTCGAAAGTGCTGTGAATTATTGGGTGTAAAACGGCACAAAAACGCTATGTTCAGTTAATATGAAGAATCATAGTGGTCTAGAGATCAACCAAATACGTAAAAGCAAGTTCACTATTATATTAACAAAATCACCTGAAAAACAACAAAAATAGACCCTGAAATAGTTGTATTTATATGAGGGAGGTAGTTGAAATTTTGGACAATTTTGAGGTGTTCTTTGGCATGAAACTGCTGAGTAGTGCAGGTATAATGAACAGCTCTGTGAAAGTCTAGTAGACTGTTAGATTAAAATCTTGTTTAAATGGTATTTCTCTCTAGATCTCACTGCAGTACTTGAAAGACGATGAGTGGAGACACACTTGCGGAGGATCTCTGATTGCCACCAACTGGGTTATGACTGCTGCTCACTGCATTAAGTAAGAACATATTTATGTGGGAAAAAAACCTCGGCACACACATATTGTGTTGTCATTTTTTAAGCAGAATATTTCATGTTTTATTATGTGTTTAGTCTGTCATTATATGTTCAATCGATCCTATTTTGCCTCTATCGCAGTGTCATGCTTGCAAATGCTCATGTCATTGTGTTTTTTTATTAAATGAACTGGTTTTCTTAAATTGTGCCAAAAAAGGGCTGCACGTGGAAAAAAACACAGCAATGCTGGAGCTCCCTGAAAGATGTCAGCCCTGTCCTGTTTTCCGTGTAGCACCAAGCTGACCTACAGGGTGTATGTTGGCAAGTACAACCTGGCTGTGGAAGAACCTGGTTCCTATGCCATCGCAGCCGAGAAGCTGATTGTGAATGAGAAGTGGAACCCCCTGCTGGTCGCCCTGGGGTATGACTTCCTGCAGCCGTCCGCTTATGAAATTCCATGATGAAGCAGATGGTATGCCTGTGATTTCCTGCAGTAATTCTCAGTACTATGATCTATAAATACATACATTTTTGCCATTCTGAAACATAGTTTATACATAAATACACTATAAATTAATTCGAGTGTTACATTACAGTTGTTCATACAAGCATTTATTGTCTCTTCTTTACATAAAGGAAGAGCTCTGCATAGTGTTCTTCTCCCTTGTCTGACACTCCTCCACTTCAGTTAATTACAGAGGGATAAAAGGGTGAACTGAACAGCTGGAAGACAATAGAAAAGTTAGAGTGATCCTAATGCGCTGATTAGAATTCAACCTTTGAATTCATTTTACAGACTATTTTTTTTCCCATGCAATGCAACCAAGAGCATAGATCAAGTGCATTAGTACCAATCTATTCTGTACGGATATACCCACACAGCTTATATGTTTTTTCCTCATCACACACAGTAATGACATCGCCCTGATCAAGCTGTCGGAGCATGTGACTCTGAGTGACCAGATTCAGCTTGGGTGCATCCCACCTGCTGGGTCTATCCTGCCTAATGCCTACCCCTGCTACATCACCGGCTGGGGCAGACTCTACAGTAAGTACTTCCTGTCGCTTGACAGAGAATGGCAGAAGATTTTCGTGTTTGTGTGTTCACATGTGGCTAAGTAGAGCACATGTAAAATAATTATATTTGATTCTGTATCATTTAAAATATTTATTAATACCCTTATTTTTTTGTAATAGAGTGCAAATAAATATTGTACAGCAAATGAGGTCATGTGGATTTACTACAGTTTTCAGAATAGTCCAGTAATTCTTATTTTTAATACAGCAGAGAGAGTATAAATATCTGCCTTTATAAGTCTGTTCTGCCGTTTTTTCTTAAAGCCAACGGTCCCATTGCCGATAAGCTGCAGCAGGCTCTGATGCCAGTGGTGGATCACGCCATCTGCTCTCAGCCTGACTGGTGGGGTGTCGCAGTCAGAACGACCATGGTGTGTGCTGGTGGAGATGGCATCGTCGCCGGCTGCAATGTGAGTGCTGTTTTTATATTTAATACATATGTATGTGGCGCTTGGCTACATGTGCACTACTGCCGAGGTCAGTTACGGAATAACGCTACAGGGAGGATCATGGCTTTTGTGATACGTGTGGTCTTATGTGTGTTGTGTGAATGTTTAATAATGCTGCCTGTGCATTTTGAAAACTAAATGAATAAAAGTCAAAATCATTTCAGGTATAGGTATCTGTTTACGGCGAAGGGAAATAGAATCTCCTATTGAAATAACAAATAACAAAATAATACCAGTATATCACATTGCAAAACAAATATGAATTTTACATGGAAATATGAATTTTAGCATGGAACAAATATGAATTTTACATGGAAAAGGGTCATGTACATGTGCTGTGAAGGCAGTCACTGGTACCACTGACAGATTACAGTATAATTATTAATGCCATACTAGCATATCGATTGCACTGGGAAGCCACGCCCCCAGAGATACCTCACACACTGTCCTGCTTGTTCCAGGGCGACTCCGGCGGCCCCCTGAACTGCAAGAGCGCTGACGGCGTGTGGGAGGTGCATGGCATCGCCAGCTTCGTCTCCGGCCTGGGATGCAACTATGAGAAAAAGCCCACAGTATTCAGCCGCGTCTCTGCTTACAACAGCTGGATCGACCAGGTACTGCAGTGATATCAATGCAGTGAGGGCCTCGGCGGGGGAGGGGGTGGCATGCAGGGGGTGCATGGTCACTGTAACATCTACCAGACTAAGGCTGCTTTGTTTCTTTGCAGGTTATGATGCAGAACTGAGAGGTTCTCAGCCACATTTTCAGCAAATAAATGACTGTGCAAAACAATGTAATTCCGTGTGTGATTTTGTTAGAATCACTGCCCATCCACTGCGCTTCACACTGGACGCCCTGAGCAGGGCTGTGGGGGGGCGGGGGGGCTGTGGGGGGGGGGGGGGGGGGCCGGGTGCTCTGGTGATGAGATGTTGTTCTCGTGCTCTTTGCAAATTTGATATTTGATATTTTATGTCTTCCCAACAGCTTAAATTAAATGGCTTATCATTATAACATTATAAAAAATCCTTGATTAAGTAGGTCTATAGATTTATTTTTATAAAATAACATGGCGTATTTTAAATATGTTTTGCAGCATATTATTTTATTTCTGGCAAGCAAATTTAAAATAAAACCAATGAAAATCCATCCATCCATCCATTTTCAAGCTGAAGGGGGGGGGGGGGGCTGGAGCGTATCCCAGGCAGCATAGGACACACTGGGGTCCAGCATGCTGGTCCATCACAGGACACATACATACACACACTATCACACTGTGGGCGATTTAGAGACCTCAGTCTGCTGTGTCTTTAGTCTTTAGACTATGTGAGGCGACTCATGTGGCACTGGGATAACTGGGTCTCTTTATGTGTCTGTCTGTCTCTCTCTCTGTCTGCTTCTCTCTCTCTCTCTCTCTCTGTCTCTCTCTCTCTCACACACACACACACATAAAGCGGAGGCAGGATTCTATCCCACTGAGCCACCTTACAATTAAACATACTTCAAATTTCAAATTTTGTTACAATTGTTTAAAGCTGATATACACTATTTATTGTTTTAACAATAGTTTTGCATATTTGTTCTGTACAATATAACAGAATGTACAAAAATAACAAAAAAAAATCGTTTTGTATAAAAATCGTTTTTCAAAAAAATTATTTAAAATGGTTATTCTACAACTAACCACTAGATGTCGTGCGATGCTTAATAACCAGTTTCAACCGTTCTGTTCGAATATATTTAAACATTTTAAAACCTTTTCTATGGAAATAAAATTATAAAATTTTAAGGACCCGGTTTGGCCTTTGTTACATATCTTGAAGAATTATATTTTATACTGCGTGTGTAAATCATGACATTCAAATATATGTTCTTAGCACTTCAGCAGTTTTTAATATCTTTATATGTCTTTGATTACACTTAATTATTATCTTAATTATAGTCTCACAAATTGGACCACAGGGAACTACTTTACTTCTTTCCATCAGAATATTCAATTCTCCTGCAGTTATACAACAGAACTTCATAATATTTTATTAAACCAGCAAAACTGATTAGAATGTCATATATCAGCTCCCTTAAAAATTCTTATAACATACTCCAATAGCAGAAGGTTTTGTATGCCTGTAGCTGTCTGCCATTACAAGATCGCAGAAGAAACCTAGCAAGCTATTTATAAACTTTTAGCTGTAACCAAATATCTTTTATAAGCATTAACTGATTGCATTAATTTTTTTTCAAGCTTGCTAGTAGAGAAGCTAATAGTATTAAGTAAGCAAGTAGTAGAAGCTTGCTAGTTAACACCTTCTTCTGGATCATGCTGTGAAGAAGTAAATAGAATATTTTTGATAACCACACAATTATAGCTGTATGAAGGTAAACGTGGAGGAGAAGTTCACCATGAGGTCCACAATTGACACCATCAGCTTGGCATATACTACACAGACTGCCATTCATTGATGGTCTACAGAGGGAGTAATATTCACCTCTACCACATTGCTCTGCTTGCAATTAGTTCAATGGCAACCTGAGATCCCCTAGTCTTATTCATTTTAGCCTACTCACATATCTTCAGCCCAAGAGTTTCTGTGGAACAAGTATAAAAGATGTCCGTGTATCTGTCTGGATTCTATGGGAGGAGGCCTCTGGAGCAGAGTATTATAGGGGTGGATATGGTGTATGGGATATGGTGTATCTCCCCAACTGCTCAGCCAAGGAACATCTTGATTCCTGCTGTGACCCTTTTTAACAACAATAAGTGAATATTATTTTGCTCGATGTAGACGTAATATTCTGCTTGGCTTGCTTTTGTTTCTCCAACTTCTCTTGACTGCTGGTTAATCAAGATTGGGATTCCTTGTTGTAACTGAGTACACTGTCTAACACAATAAGCTAAGTACAAGATTTATAGAGGTAATAGTAAAGAAGCGCATGTTTATTGTTTCATGTTGATTTTAGCAGTGCATAATACAATAGGTATTCAGCAACGCCTTTGGATTTAATGGTCTTTGCGTGCCATTTGAAACTTCACTTAATTGCTTTTTTTCTCTTTTAAACAGTATGATTTCAGTATAGGTTTATCATTTTCATGTTCATGATTTTCTTAAATTTGAAAATAATTTTAAGGAGCACCTAAATGGTTGCAGGAAAATGGCAGTTTGTTTTATTCAAAGATTAACGTAGCCAGTAGGCAATGAGCCACTGTATTTCTGTAATTGTAGGCGGGTGAATTCAATTTGAACAAAATCCGGACATGTGACAGGAAAAGTACTGGAGAGGAATGGGGGTGGGGTCTGCAGCCATGTATGACGGCATGATTGCTTAAATTTTTATAGCCAGATATAGTACCATATAGAGTATAAGCAGTATTATTTAGGCATGTGGGATATGCCAAAGCATCACTAGCAGTAGTACCTGGCATGTTTTGGTATGTTGAGTGTATTTATTAAATTTTGTATATTTTCATTGCAAGAAATTTTGCATGAACTACATATGCAAAACAATGTTCAACAGCAACTAATTTGCAAGTCTAAAAAACACATTTGGGAATTTTTGCGCAGAAAAATCTTGTTAATCACATTAACCCTATTCAGACCTCACAGTAATCCAGACATGTAACACAACTCTGATAGATTGTGAAGTGATCATTATTTCTTTATCTTTAAAAATGTTTAAATTTAAAGGTCAAATGAAATACTTTGACATTACTGCTTACAATAATGCATAAAGATTCCTTTTAAATGTAACAAAGGGCAATAAAATATGAAACACTGTGAATTATGCTTTTTCAATTTTAATCATTCAAATGATTTACTGGCTTATATACAAAATTTCATCCATTCATCCATCTAACCATCCATCCCATTTCTTATGGGAACAAATCCAGAGACACAGTGAGCCTGGAACTCATCCCATGAAAGGATGACTTGGCACTGTCACCTCATGCATCTGGGACCAGACTTCGAGTGTCGGCCACAGCTCTATGTGCATGTTCTCCCCATGTCATCAGGGGGTTTCCTCTGGGCATCCCCACCCAGTCTAAGAACATGCTATAGAATTTGAATTACCAGTGTGAATGGTGTGTGAGTGACCCTGCATAGGATAAGAGGGAACAGAAAATGTATGGATGGATGGATGGATCGATTTCAGTCCTGGGAATCTTCACTTCTACATTTCCTGTGGCTGTTAAAATGATCTAATTACGATGTTGCACAACTTAATTTAATGCAGAAATTCATTTAAGTATAGAATAAAGAAAAGTAGAATATAAAGACTGTTAATCCAAATGTAAACTTAATTAAAAAATAAACAAAGGACACACTGCTAATAACAATGTTTACCCAAGTTCCTTCCTATCCAAGAGGAATTTTAATCAGACTCCACCTCTGAACTGAAAGTATAATTAGATTATTTTGTAAATGCAAATAATGCTACACAAAAAACAGTTACTCACCTGGAAGCAAGCTGTCTGTCTCAGTCAGTGAAATGCTGGAGGCACAGGAAAGATTAGAAAAATGAGGCAGGCCATTAATTTCCTGAGGACAACGCATAAAGAAGCTAAATACGATTAAGGAATTTCCCATTAAGTTTCTTTCCTTTGGTTAATTAAACAATAATTTGGGCATAAGTGTAGTGAAGATAAGTGCACAATCAATGGGATATGTTTACTAAATAGGCTGTTTGGAATGCATTTGATTTAACCAATTGCTTTGATCATATCAGTTTTGTAAAATGACACGTGTAATAGTAAGGCAGCCATCAATCTTTTTAGGCAAATAAGAAATGCAGCACAAAACCATAAAATATGTGGTCCAAATTATGATGACCACAGAAGAACTAAACAAAACAACTAATGCATGACATATGTAACACTATGAAGAAGGGTCTTACCCAGCATCAGAAGGATGTTCCTAATAAAGGATGGGCTCCCCCTTTGAGTCTGGTTCCTCCCAAGGTTTCTTCCTTCTAGGGAGTTTTTCCTTGCCACTGTCACCTCTGGCTTGGTTTCTGGGGGCTTTGGGCGGGAATAATGTAAAGCACTTTGAAGGTATATTGTGAAAATAGGCTATACAAATAAAATTGAATTGAATTGAACTGAATACTTCTGTGCTGGTGTTTCAGTGTTGCTCTGCAATTATGCTGGCAAAATGTTAGTTGGCTGAGCGTGGGGGGTTTACGTTTTGCTAAAACATTTTTACTCATAGGAAACAAAACTTAGCAAGCTTTGCAATTTTAATGATTGCTCATTATACAGTCACAGTCATTGTGGTCTGTCGCCGTGACGTGTAGTAAAGACTGATTAACACTTCTGCGTAGAAACTACGCCATTAGTATTGCATAGGTAGGTACTACTAGGTCTAGCCTAATACCCTATGCTGTAACCCGTGTCGTGGCCTGACGCACACCTCCCACAAATGCAACTACAGGCATCAGGCTATGTTGTGGGTTAGAGTACGTTGCTAACGATGGCAAAGTTTCTACAGAGAAGTATAAATCAGAATTTACATTTAAATAGTTACATTTTTGGGGAAGGTGCACATCTCGTAGGCTATGGTGTAAGATACATGCCTGTGCCATACATACAGCATAGACAGGGTTGCCAACTCTCATGCAGACTAAAAAAGAGAGTTCTTTTATTTGTATCTAGGCAACTCCCATTAGAAGTTAACGTGAAGGAATGTTCTGTCCACTATGGCACATATATGAAAGAACGCATTGTTCACTTCATGACACAAAAGCATTTTGTGTTCCTCTAAAGTGATTGGTGGAGCCATTGTGGCAAGACACCAAGGAGAAAACAGAGCATGATGGGAAGTCATAATGCTTGCTATTTGGTAAACATGCAAGTGCATTTAAGGGAAATGTCCTTAATTTGTTTTGGAAATTACTTCTTATAGGCTGCCCAGTTTGTGTTGGTCACATAAAATATGCAGTCATTATGTCTGCAATAAATATATAAAAAGACAGACAGACACCATAAAAATTTATGACTAAGAATTTAAGCTGATAGATTTAATTAAAAGTTTCTCTGTTAAGTACTCTGTTAAGTCTTAATATTTAATTTTAAAAATCCTTGAATCCTTAATACATCCATCTATCCAAGTGTAACACTGTCAGGATAAAGGTACCAGAAGTTACACTTGTTTTGACTGCTTATTCTGGTTAGGATCACAGGGTTCCTAACACGCCTTTATTACCTAAATGGCAACACAAAAACACTTGTGCATTTTTCTGCCTCACACATGATGGTGCAATACAGTGTATTTTACAGCAATATTGCATGTAACTAACAGGGGAAGTCTATCTTTCCATACTTTGAAATAAACCAGTAATGGATACATCTACAATAATGTATCCTCTGTCAATACTATGTATCACCTATTTTGTATCTCTCCAGTATGTGCATTTGCAGACCTTCACATTCCACCCAGACGTTAAGATACCATCAGATATTAGAGTAATGACTGTAGCCTAACAAAGATGATCATGTTTCATCTGTGTAATCGGGGTTAATCTCTACTTTACTGGACTGTACACTATAGTGTGATTAGGTTTTATTGTGAGAAAAAGAAAACAAACAAATGCCTGTGCTAAAGGTAAATTTACTATCAAATTAAACAGATGCAGCTGAGACATTCTAGCTACGTAATGCTTTCATCACTTTACATTCATTAGACTGGCAGAAGTGAATGTAATAGCGTCAAAATAAATAAATTTATAGATGCATGGGGCACATACTTTTGTGAACTACGAACCCTTTGAAGATGAGGTGTCAACTACTCTCATCAAACCTTTCTTTTAATGCTTTCTTTGCACAAGATGGAAGGATTTGCCAATTAATAGAATATCATCCTACACAGAAGGTACTCTTGCATTGTGCCAGGAAACCTTGGAAGTTGGGCGTTGGATGGATGGAGAATTTATATTGAGATTTGATTTACAACAGTAAGCAATTAAACATATATGGTATTAGATCATGCATCCCTCAAACTGGGTGTTATAGACCAGAATGTTCTATTTTCCCAATTTAACGTACTGTATGGTATTTGTAAGAAAATGAAGGTTCTGCAACCAGTTCCTGACTTTCCGCGGTTTTTATAGCCAAATAATGAAGTACATGGCTATATGTGGTCTTAATGGAGGCAGGTATGAAGACTTTAACCCTAAAATTAGCTACATCAAAAGCGTTGGGGCAATTTACAAGGTAAGACAACTCTTACACACATGTAAATGCATGTGCATGTCCGTGCAGACTTATCTCGGATTGAATCTCACACCAGTCAGCTGACCAAAGTTGGCGATCCTGAAATGTCCAATTTGAAAGTGCAGTGTTTAGTCTAAGAACGCTTGTAAAAACTGGCCAAGAAACTTACACTTTCAAGATTAGGAAAAACATTTTCTTGCATGTACAGTATGTTGGTCGGGTTGGTGGTGCGATAACCCGCCTGCATAAGCCGGACAGAGAGGGCAGCTACGCCGATGACGGCGCTTCACCAGCGGACTGAGACTCGTGTAGTGGCTCCATGAGTAACAGAAACAGGGAAGAAGTAACAGGCGGAGCTACTGCAGTCACAACCATGCAGCTTTATTGCCGGCTCCTTCAGCCCGCTTTTTTACGGTTTTATTTTTAATCTGCTGGAAATGTAGAATTACGTGCTTAGATCCCTAACAGGCAGCACGACAGCCGGAGACAGCGAGTCCCCGGGGAAAAGACCGTCCTGTTTTACTGTCCTGGTTTTAATTTACTCCTTTACCTTGTCAGTATTTTTTTTGTGTGAATTTGACACAAGGGGCACAAAAACTACAGAAGAGGACTGTGCACATATTCCAGGGGATTAACTCTTAACGCGTAAATTAATACGGTATGTGACTTCCTTCGTCTGACATCGCAATTTCATTTAATATTTAGAACAATTCTGATATGAAAAAGAGATTCACTACTTTTTACCGAATACTACCATAAGATAAACAACTTTCTTTGGATCACCTTCGACACAGCTGCTGCATTTTATTTTATTTGTTTCATAACTCGATGATCATCTAGAAACGTTAGATCGCTGCTGTAATAGAAACGCGGCATTAAGTGGCCGAATTTAAACGCATTTAAGTGTAAAACCGTAAAGTCTTCGTACAGTAGCAACATTCAGGCGGTTAATCTTTATCCTTAATCTTTATAAAACGTCCCGTGTTGTGCCATCTATGTAGAGTGGGATTTTCTATCATGGTGGAAAATATACTGGTTACTGCTTTTTAAATTCTCCTTTAAATGCCTTACTACTTTAAAACTGAAAGGCTCCTGTGCTTGGCTAAATTTTTCAGTTCTTCTTGAGCTTTGACTGGTTTGTTGGTTTGTTTCCTTGACTGAAAGACTCATTCAGCTGTTTTACATTAACATTAGTGACACATTCATGATTATAGGAGACTGATCAAATCAGCACACAGCAAGAAGTCAGTGCTAAAGTGAAAAACAGGGCATTGTAACTCTTCAGATATCTTGCTGACATTTCAGTTTTGCTGACATTTCATTCATGCTGTTCAGGTAAATGGAGAGTTAATGTATATAACTGTAAACATAAGTGAAATTGAATAAAACAAAATCAGCAAACATTATTCTGACTGTGAAACCACTCTCAAATGTCCACAGAGGAGTTGAAGCGTTTCAGATGCTGTATTTATAAAATATGACATGACAGTTTAGACTTAATTTCCAAGGGAAAAAAGTCCATTCCAATTCCCCAGCACATACACAGCACCTAGAGAATATTCTCAGCTTTAAAGCAAACATCTTCCTGGGTTGTTGATTCAGTTTCTCGGGAATTCTAACAGTCATACACTAACATTTTTTTTGATAAATTACCTTTTATATTTAACATTTGTCCCAACCAGTAAAATCCCAGTTTTACAGTAGATGGAACAATAATACTACAAACTAATTTTACTCTACATTCAGAAACCTGTGTATGTAATCTCTCTTCTGGCACTTTACACTGAAAAACTGCACTATTTTTACAGGGTAAAAATAAACATATTTATATGTTAAACAATGTAAACTTAATGTTAATTCTTGTTTTCTGGTCATGACAGACCTGAATTGTCCATGAACCATCCAATCCCAGTAAGAGCATGGTATTTCCTGATCAGACTACAAACCAAGAACTAACAAGCCCTTTATCACATTGATCTGTCTTTCACTTTCATCTTTATCAAAAAATAATAATAAACAAAGCATTCTCCAGAGACTCATTTCTACTGAAATAAGATTTAAATCATAACACTGTTTAAAAAAGCTCTTCAAGTACAACTTTTGGCCAAACTATGGATTTTCAGGGCTTGGGCTTTTCTTGAATTGTTCCATCTGGGTTTAACCATGGTGTGAAAGGTAGGAAAGATCATCATTCAAACATTTTTAAATGATGGTACAGTTGTGTCATAAACAATATACATTTTTTTTGACTGTTTTGATTTGTCTTTTGGAGCTACAGAAAAAAAGGAGGCGCAAATTAAAAATCAAGCGACAAATACATTTTAGTAAAAAAACACGCTTGTAATGAATGATGAAGTTACTCACTTTCTGGTAAATGTATAACGGACCCTGTGATGTAAAATCTTGTCATGACCACTGCATTTTATTTTTTTGTTAATGAATTAAGGGCACAACAAAGGAATTTGCTCATCAGCCTCGCATGTTAACAATAACTGCAGGTGAAACAGTGGGCTCTCATACCCTTGTCACATGGTTTTCCGAGAAACAGGATATAAAGAAGTGCTGTGTTTTATCGCTCCCGATTGTGGAGTTGGCAGGGGCCAAAATCATGCTGCGTTAGAGATTTCAAATGCAACTTATTTTAGACAATAGAATCCTGGATATTGAATGTAATGAGGTTGTGTTGTGATCTGCGGAACATCCTGCAGCAGCAGAAATTCGCATGATCAGTAGCTCTCATTAACATTATTACTTACATTGAGTTTTCAATGGAGTTTATTTTATTCATATATGCTTTGAAATTGGCTCTTTTTTGAAACTGAATTAGTTTTACTATATAGTTTTATTTTAATTTTACTGTAGAATGTGATGTCATGAGGTTAGTTGATTTGGAATTCGTACATTTGGTCACTACATTAGTTTGCAGCTTCTTTTTGGGAAACAAATTCTGTAATATTATGGCACCTTAAAATAAAGCTTTCCAGTCTTATACTAAGTGATCTAGTATCAAAAATAGGTGGTTCAAACTAGGAACTTGCAGCTTCCAAGCTGATGGGCCTGCTTTTATCAACCAGACAGAGACTGTGGATATTAACTACAACTTAAATTGTATTACAGACTTTGTTTCCCAAAAAACAGCTGCAAATTAATGTGATTCAAGGTAAAAATTCCAAGCCAACCAGCCATCCTATGCTAGGACAAGATGGTGCTACATTTGCCTGAAAAACCCTGGATTACATGAACTTGGATTACATATTATTTTTAATCCAGTTTCACCAGTTAATACTGTAAGGATTTTTAGAGTGGGGATCCATCTTGTAAATTATGCTAACTATATCTTGTGTTTCATGTCCCCTTTAATCCTAGGCTGTGTTCAGATTGCTTTATTAGTAGAAATATCAGACATGAGGAAAGTAATATGCCAAATAAACATAATTTCTCATCTTGGTTGTTTTCCAATTGCTGAGTGTTTTGTTCAATTGGCTCACTCAATATTAAGTAGAATAGCACAGGGAAAGGCAGTTATGTGAAAATCATTGACTGACCTATTTGCAGTGACGTTAATATGCGACACTTCCAATTGAACAAGACTTATCCATCCAATCACTGATACACTTGAGCTACTGATTGATTTTAAATCAAAGACCAGGTAGTTATGTATTTCCTGAACATTCAGTAATAGTAGATTTTTCACAGTATCTCTTTTTCTCTAATGCTGTTTCAACTGATTGTTTCATTTTTGATTTGAATTGGTACCGAAGGGATTTTTCTTAAAGAAAGCAGTTTGGCAAAAGAAATATAAAATGACTTTTTGCAATATAAAAGGTATTGTTGTATGCCTGTCTAAGCTTCAGTACAGAAAATACTGACAAAGTGAAGAAAGTAATGAATACATAATATATTTGGTTGAAAATATGTTTTCTGTTTTAAAATATATTGGTAAACTGCCATGTACACAAAAATAAGTGTGCCATTTATTCTTGTTGCATGCTGTTATTAACTGACCATCTGATGCACTGAAATCTATGGTAAATACTGAAGGACAGAGACCTGTCACAAAAATTTTCTGTATTCACTCAGAGCTTCACTCAGATCCTGAAAGACTGAGACCTATCGCATAAATTGTTTTCGATATGTTCACTCAGACCTTCAAGGTGGTCAGATATTTTCAGCAGCTCTTTATCCAGACCGAAGAAGCAGGAAGTGTAGGAGAATAATGGATTTTGCATTTTAGAATGGGCCCCGGTTTATCACGGACACCCGTCAATATACACATCGACATATTATGGGTAAATAACATGCAGCATGACCTTTGAAATGACAGGAATGGCAATTGTGCAATCAGGTCTATCTCTACAGGGGGCCGACACATGCTAAGCAATCACTGATTATTTTTTTTGTAAATAGAAAGGAATCAAGCAGAAAAAGAAAAACAAAAAGTAGTTCAAACAAACTGTTAGTCTCAGGCATCCCCTGGCTCCTCCAGCCCCCCCTACATCATAGTTGGAGCCATGATTGGTGTTAACTCCCCAAAGCTCTAATGAGTGCTTTAATAGCGCACGTCATAGAAATGAACACTAACCAGTCATAGTCTAACCAGTAGTCTTTTAAGAATGGACAACCTACCCTCAACAAATGCACAGTAAAGTTTATTGAGATAGTGGAGCACGTCACATGCTATGGTTTTGGCAATATTGTAGAAATTAGTGCTTCCTTAGAGGACACTTCAAGTGTTGGTGAAGAAAGCGACACCTCAGCAGTCGCAGCATCTTTATGAAAATAAATATTATGGATAAACAAGGTAAAAAGACGTTGCCGATACATTTTGCAGTCTAAAGTCTGACCTGCAAAACACTGGTGCTGTGTACTGTAAACTCTGCTGAAAACTCCTGGCAAATAAAACTGGAAACACTGCAAAATTATTTCACCGTTTGAAGCACTGTCATCCAGTAGAACATAGAGAATGTGGCTCCTTATATTCACTCCAGTAATTAGTGTTTCCAAATTCAGACGTTGGTTCAAAATGGGACACAGCATTTTATTTTTCACTATGGAATGGGTGTCAACTGTACCAGCAATCTCAAACCCGTTCCCTGGAGCAAGCGGCGAAGCTGAAAAAAAAAACTGTCAGTGTTTTCTAGTATTGTGTCCTAAGACAAAAGTTATTTTCATGTTATGAGTCTTTTCGGGCAATTCGAAGGGAACTGTAAGCAAAAATTGGAGCGTTAAAGAAATAATGAGCCAAATTATATTGTGATAATTATCGATATTGACTGTATGAAAAAATAATCCCTATCACCTAACCCTACGAGGAGACCCTCCAGACCAGCCCTCCCCCAGTCAAGGAGGTATTTCAAGTTTACAGAGGGGGATTCCTGTTCGGGCCCCAATATGATAAATGATGAATAGCCAGGGCAGGTGGTTGGAGAGGTTATGAAACCCTGACATAGGGAATGCATTACATCATTACATTATTACATTGCATTATGACATAGGGATTGCATTGTAGCGTTACATAATTACATTGCATTATGGCATAGGGATTGCATTGTAGCGTTACATAATTACATTGCATTATGGCATAGGGATTGCATTGTAGCGTTACATAATTACATTGCATTATGGCATAGGGATTGCATTCCAGCGTTACATAATTAC